ATCGTTGAGCATTGTGTTCCAAATGTCAAACTTTACAATATATATATATATATATATATATATATATATATATATATATGGTTGAGAGCATCCGGTTTTGGATTTGCCTGTCACTGTGGCCAGCCACAGGACGCCTGCGCCCACAGAAGGGCCATGAGTAGATTGCGCTGCACCACCCACACAGCCCATATCCAGTGTAAACCCGAAGGAATAAGACCGGGAGACATGTGGATGGGAGCAACGTTTCATCAACGGAGCCGGCCCACACTCCTTCACAGGCAAACACAAGCACGCTGTAGTTGGGAATCAAGCGCACATAAGACGGTGACTGGACCGCAGTCCGCTACACAATGAGTGCATGAAACCACTCTTCGAGCCTAGCACAGGCACAAGGACCGTGTACCTCATCACCTCCAGCAACGACCAAGTGGCTCCTGGAGCCAGTATGGACAAGGTAGTGGGTAACAGACAGGTAGACATCTTGTCAATATTCATATCAAGCGCAACCACACCGGGGATGTCAAACAACAGCCAGTCACTTGAAATGACATTATCAAATAAAACACACCCGTTAAAGCATATGGTTATGCAGATATAACTTTTCGCTATATTAGCATATGAAACAAGTTGGTTAGCAATGAATCAGCGATAAGTACAAAGGTTCACATGTTAGACAAAAATGCTACAAACATAATAAAGTTAGCGAAGATAACCATCATTGGCGTAAGCAACCTGTGCAAGTTAATAGAATATTAATCATGTATGGAGAACAAACCAAATAGTAGAATGAATTTTATCCTCCTTAAAAAACCTAGCTTAAGTTGGTTTAGCCCGACTGCGGTGTAGAAGCATCATGAATGCAACATCAGTGTGAAGTCCAAAAGGAACATTGACGTATTCCTCAATCTGGATTGCCTGCTTGAGGACACGGTCACCCTATTCCTTAATTATTCTGTCCATTTTACATTGCTTCCACTCTGTGTGCTACAATCGGTTACCATATTGAACATTTCTTCCTTTCACTCTCGATCACTGACATATCCTTGACGTTTCGAGGTCATGCGTATTATTCTGTTACTGTGATATTGCCCAAATTCCCACACGCTGCCGCACGCCTTACAATTTCTCCCCTCTTGCACTACCAGTGAGAAACCTTTTCTTAATTCATGTACTCTATTTAATATGTCTTATAGAACCACGGCCGCAGGATAATTCGTTTTATTCTTCTGCCCAGACCGTGCGTTCGTAGTTTCTAGTTTAGGTTTCGTACGACATACTTAGTTTAGTCTTCGTATCGTTGGTACAATCGGCCTCAGCATATATAAATACATAAATAAACATATATATATATGTCATGCTGAGTTTGCTGAGTTATATTTCTACACCGCATTTGATCTACACCGACCTACATCCAAAGTAGATCTCAATCCGGATAAACTGTATTCCACTTTAGTTGATTTGTTCACTTCTGTTATTTTTCTGTATATTCTGTGTCTCTTTTATGTGTTTGCTTCCTCTCAAATTTTATGTTGGTTGTTTAACATCCACAATGTGGCTGAGCTTGATGTAAGTGTTATCAAAGTCAGGATAAGCGAACATATGTTTTTGATAATTCATCTTCAGGCTTATACAATTATATGCAAAATCAAAATGTACAGACAGACATTATAAGTCGTTACTAGTGGAGCGAGTTAATTGGATGCTGACAGTGCTGTCTGTTAAGCCACGACAATCGACCGCGTGTGACCTCGTGGGTCAGAGGTCACTGGCCGTTTGGGCCAGGGCAGTCCCAAGCCATTAGTTAGCTACTTCTGAACACAGCTCCGGTTCATACAGCCTGATCGCAATTGCTTCAGCGGCTTCTAGTAATCGCTTACGGACGTAGTTCGAGCGGTGCTTTGGGGCCTGATAGATAAGTTTGAATGAATCAGTGAACTTTGTGACGTGCCCTGTATCGGCTAGGTGAACGGCTATTGATGAGTTCGCTGTATTTCCAATTCTAGTTCTAAGCCCGATCTTGTGGTGTTCCTCCATTCTCGCGGATAGACGCCGTGTCATACGACCAATGTATTCCGCTCCACAGGAACATGAGTAGATACACATTGAGTTGGTGTGGACAAGGCTCTTATCCCTTGAGTTTAGTCTCACCATCGGAAAGCTAATGAACTGGATTTGAATCTGCGCTGCTGGATAGGCGAGTCTTAGTACAACCGAAAGACGACGAGATAGAACTTTCGTCGTAAATTCGCCCTTGTATGGCAGCTGTAGGAAGATTGGCTTACGTTCTACTGTCAAAACTACAGGCTTTTTCTTCTTATGTTCCATGTTGGCTCTGATGAAGCTTTCCGGATAGCCGTTCTCCCTTAGCACTAAGCGGATGCACTCTAATTCTTCCGCAAGCGTGTCATTCGAGCAGATACGTTCAGCTCGGCTCACTAGGGTATTTATCAAGTTCCGTTTAAACCTAAGTGGCACGAAGCTGTAGAAGTTTGTGTACTGCCCATTCCACGTACTTTTCCTATAGACTCAGCGCTGTAGCGCACCCCCATCCAGTCTTTTCATGGTGACATCGAGGAAATGAAAGCGACTGTTTTCCTCCACTTCGCTGGTGAACTTTATTGCTGGATGGTATTGGTTGAATGTGTTTGTTATCAAAGTGCCTATCTGGCTAACATCCTGTACCTCGATTACTGGCTGCAGGAGACTGCGAATCGTCGCTGGGGGGGGGGGGGGTGCACGGTTCTTGTGGCCATCCTAGGCTTAAAGAGTGGTCACATTCAGTGTGGAGCGAACTGCCTTTAGACCCCAGCGTTCCACGCTTGATGCTATCTCGTAGCTTGTGCATTCAATAGCCTCTGTGCTAGCTAAGAAGTGCACGTCCGTACGACTACTCTTTCTTGACTATTCACATGAGTTTGGGAGTCTTGATCGACCGGATCTGCTTAACCTACTTTATTTGAACGGAGTCCACCCGAATATTTATAACTTGTTGTGCGGTTATTTCACTGATCGTATACACTTTACCCAGTTAAACGGAAAAAAATTCCCCTACGCTCCGCGCTGACTGTGGTGTTTTGAAGGGTGCGATTGTTTCACCCCTTTTATTCTTTTTATATGTAGAAAATCTCCTCATACCATCAACACCCATCGGATGTAAATATGCTGAAGGTGTCATCTTGGGGTGCAAATTTCTCACCATTAAGACGTCTAGGTTTTAATGTGGTTTAGACGAAGTTGTGAATTGGTCCTCAACCATAATGCTTTGAAATGTACCGAGGCAACATTTTCATTTCTCCGCTCTGATAAACTGCGAGTTATATTAGATGCCCCTCGTCTATCACCGTTGGAAGACAAAACCATTCCTATTTCATCTACTGTCAAATATCTCGGTATTTGTCCCTAAACCTCTCTTGCTCGATGCACGTCTTGGAGACCATTCACAAGGTCAGAAGGTTAGCTTTTTATGCCTCGCGACTTAAGAAGTTCTCCATATCGCGAACCTTAATTTTGAGATTTATAACTGGTTGCACTGTTCCCCAGTAATCTTCCCTGTTTTGATTGTGCGATCGATTAAACATATGTCCAGATGTGGTAGCTTGCCGAGAGATATCATAGTAGATTTTATTGCTCGTGAGTATTTTTACGCTTGTATGAATTTTGTTCTAAGGTCTTGAGTGACCGATCTCATGCGTTACATGATGCTGTCACACAAACGTTGACCGTCCCTCACACATGCTCAAAAGTTAGGATTTCATTCTCTCCTATTTCTTTGTATCGTAACATAGGTTTGCCTTATTGGTCATACTTTTCTGTCGACCCTATGAAAGTCACAAGTACTTTGCGAATGCGGCTTCTTGAATTACACATCCACATACCTTTGACTATTTAATTCTTCAATCTGTGCCTTTGTATTTTTAACTGGTCCCATTCACACAGTGTATCCGCAGTGGAAGTGTAAACGCTGACAATGCATCTATTTAGGTGTATAAAGCTTAGTTTGAGCTGACTCGACTACGGCCCAGTTACCGCCTTGTGTACGTCTGATTCCCAATGTAGGTAGACAAGAATGCTGCTGTTGTGCATGTTGAAGGAGAGTAGGCCAGCTCTGTTGATGAAACGTGGTTTCAACCCGCATGGCTCTCGGTCTTATTCCTTCGGGTTTACACTGGCTATGGGGTATGTGTGGATGAGGCTGTGGGTGGTGTAGCGCAAGCCACCCATGGTCTCTCTGTAGGCGCAGGTGTCCTGTCGTTTCAAATGATTAGCTGTTGCTTGATATCCCCGGTGTGGCTGCGCTTGATGTGCATGTTGACAAGATGCCTACCTGTCTATTACCCACTACCTCGTCCATACTGGCTCCAGGAGACAGTTGGCCGTTGCTGGAGGTGATGAGGTACACGGTCCTTGTGGTTGTGCTAAGCTCGAAGAGTGGTTCCATGCACTCAGTGTGGAGCGGACTACGGTCAAGCCACCGTCTTGTGTGCGATTGATTCCCAACTACAGCGTGCTTGTGTTTGCCTGTGAAGGAGTGTGCGCCGGCTCTGTTGATGAAACGCGGTTCCCATCCGCATGCCCCCGGTCTTATTCCTTCGGGTTTACCCTGGATATGGGGTATGTGGTTGGAGCTGTGGGTGGTGCAGCGCAAGCCATCCATGGTCCCTCTGTAGGTGCAAACCTCCTGTGGCAGTGACAGGCAAATCCGGAATAGGAGGTTAGTGACTATATTTGGGCTTACGTTTGACCTGACTAGATCAGTTCCGCTCCGAGATTGATTGTAACAGTAGTCAACGCAACCGTTAATTTTCAATTGGTACCATTCAGGGTACATATAAGTGAGAAAACAGCGAAAATAAGTGAGGAGGTTAAAGGCAAGACCAAATATAAACAAACGCCGTGTTGGAGATCTGATTCACTTATTCAATACAATTGGTGCTCTGATTGGGTAAACAGAATGATTATAAAAGGTGGAACGGTATAGAAATGGACTACTGGGAACAAACCTTGTTGAAATGGGTCGACCAGACAAATCATCCACCACATCCAATTGTTGGTCACGGCACGGCAACACAGTCAGTGCCCAGACGCCATTCACACACCAAGCCGAATGTGACACCTCAGTTAAATTTGGTGTCCAAGGGTAAGGATCTGGACTCATGGTATGCATCACATGGGGTTTCGTGCCAAAGATAGACAAATTTTCATCCGTCGCTTGAGCAAATGAATCAACGGGTCCACCGGGCAAGGATCCAATGGGCGTCGGCTGGAGTGCACCCAGTGAAGAAGAAGCAGCGCGCGTAAACGAATTCGGACTGACGTCGGGTGGAAGAGTTGAGATGAACACCACAGTGCCACGAGTCTCGGCGACCAATCTACGGGAACATAAAGGATCGAGTTAGAGGAGATTGCATCAAAATGGCTCTGTTATTTTTGTTCGAGGTGCTGAGAAGCTAAAGAAGTAGAGGTGTTCTACCAAAGATCATGAACGATAGCGAGATGGTTGTGTTAAGAACGGCTAGGATCGATGTGACGGCTGAAAGACAGATGGCTACTTGTCCAATTCTCAACAAGTATTCCAAGTTACGTACGTCTGCGGATCAGAAAAAGTAAGTGGAACAAATGATATCTCGCGTATCACTCCCACGGCTGGGTTATCGAACAACCTCCTCGTGGTGCTAGCTGGGTGGTTCGGGATTTTCCCGTTCCAGCAAATGGTTCGGCGGCAGTGTTTCAGGACGTGGTGGGTTTTCGCCTGGCAAGCGTCCTCCCTACAAAAAGCCTCAAACAACACAGTGACGTGGCGGACGTGACTCGCCACTAAATAGAGTCACTGCCCCTTGCTTCATCCTGGCGAAGCATTGTATTCCAGCAAATTTATGCTGCAACCATGGGGGCATTGGGCCCCAGTTTGACAAAGGAACAAACGAAAGGCGTGTGAATTGAATAATCAGTCAAAGGCTCCCAATGGGCGCGATTCCCTGAATTCGCTCCGTTGCCTTGCGGGCAGGCTATTCAGCGAAAAGGCATGGGGTGGTGTCCCTTAAGTCAACACCCTACTTCGGCTTGGGCAACCGGGTAGTATCTCGCCCTTTGACGAAACCATGGATTTTGATGTTTTGATGTGATATATATATATATATATATATATATATATATATATATATATATATATATATATATATATATATATATATATATATATATATATATATAGTGTCCCATGCTGAGGCTGATGCTGCATACTTGATGCTCCTTCACCCCAATTGGGCTAAACCAACTTAAACTAGGTCTTTTTAAGCTGGATAAATTTCATTCCACTTTATTTGGTTTGTTCTGCCTACCTGAATAATGTTTTATTAACTGGCAACGTTGCTTACGCTAATTGCACTTATTTTCGGTAACTTTGTTGGGTTCGTAGTATTTTTAAGTAACTTGTGAACATTTTTTCCCTATCGCGGATTCGTTGCCAACCAACTTACTTCATATGCTAATTTGGCGAAGAGTTATGCCACCGTATCTGTATGCATTATTGGATTTGTTTTATTTCATCTTGTCGTTTCAAGTGATTGGCTGTTGCTTGATATCCCCGGTGTGGCTGCGCTTGATGTGCTAGTTGACATGGTGCCTACCTGTCTATTACCCACTACCTCGTCCATACTGGCTCAAGGAGACAGTTGGTCGTTGCTGAAGGTGACGAGGTACATGCTCCTTGTGGCTGTGTTAAAATTAAAGAGCGGTTCCATGCACTCAATGTGGAGCGGACTACGGTCAAGCCACCGCCTTATATGCGCTTGATTCCCAAATACAGTGTGCTTGTGTTTGCCTGCGAAGGAGTGTGGGCCGGCTCCGTTGATGAAACGTGGCTCCCATCCGCATGCCTCCCGATCTTATTCCTTCGGGTTTACCCTGGATATGGGGTGTGTGGATGGAGCTGTGGGTGGTGCAGTGCAAGCCCCCCATGGTCTCTCTGTAGGCGTAGGCGTCCTGTGGCTGGCCACAGTGACATGGAAATCCGATACCGGATGCCGCCAACCATATATATATCACCCCCACACCGATAAACCCCAGTGAGACATACATAAAGAGATCAGCCATGTGGCGGTAAGGGCACAGGTGGGAGAAGCAATATCGACTCAGTAGCATGCCTCAGTTCGAAGCATCACCAAAAACTGCCACGTGCAGTGGGAGAGCATAGGATAAAAAGATGTGATTTCATCGATTCGTAAGTGTAAAGAACCGGTTAAAAAGTTTCCTTAAAAGGCTTGGCTAGCATGATGGAGAGGAAGGAAATGTGTCACCAATTATATGCTAAATAATACATTGCTATACTGAAGAGTAGGAAGGAATGTTGCGTGTGAGCACGAAGGCGGATGAATCCACAGAATTACCAGGGTCAATGCAGATATCACTATGGTCATTGTTCTGCGCAAGCAAGCATCAATGTGATACGCAATGATGCACCGCTTGAATTGGCTGCCTTCAAAACAACCTCCCCGTGGGTGCTTCGGAGTTGCCTCGTTCCAGCGGATGTTTCGGCGGCAGGGCTCCAGGTTATGATGGATTTTCGCCTAGAACACGTACTTCCTATAAAAAGCCAAGTAGATCCGTTTAACAACACTGTGACGTAGTGGATGTGACCCGTTATGACATAAAGTCACTGCGCTTCTGGTGGGGCGGTGCATCCCAGTCACTTGCTGCTAACTTCTGAGAATCGGAGCGCTGTTCGGCCACTGACCGGAGAAAAGGTGCATGAACCGAGCGATCGGTCACCGACTTTCAATGATTGCGATCCCGTGACTACGCTCCGCTGCTTAGCAATTCGGTTAAAGGCTCTCACTTCGAACTTGCCGTCGGTTGGTGTCTCTCAACTACCAAGCTGGGGACCGAAGGGCAATAAACAACTTTGGTTGGATATTCTAGTTGACATGGCAAAGAGCCGACCTCAATGGCATCTTGTTGTGTTTTTTCATCCCTATCCGGCTTATTTTCTCTTTCCAACCATGACCTCTGTGTTGAAGCACAAGATATCACTAAGCAGCGTGTTAGCTGTTCCCTTTGTGTGTTCTATGAAAAAATGTAGCAGCAGTGCGCCGGGTACGCAGTACCGACGCTTCGCTGCCGCTTAAGTGCCACCAGTCGCGCATAAGCTAAGGATACTGTGAGGGTCTCCCGGTCCCATATGCAGACTGGAAGCTGCGCACACTGGTTACAAGGCAACCGGGTAGTATCGCACTCTATGAAGAAACCATGCGTTGCTCTGTGTTGTGTTCGGTTTTCTGTTGACGACAACTGTACGTTCCGGTTTACCTTCAATAGCATTCTCGGCACACATCGTGTGAATGTGGTTTGCCAGAATAAGCGGCTGGCACAAAGCTCTGGAAATGCGTGTAATGCCATCAGCAGCGATCCAGTGATAGTTTTTATTGACGCAACGAGCATCCACTATACGTAGTATGTCGGACCAATAGGATTTCCACTTATCAGAAACTCTTCCTGGAGGTTATGTCATGCGCTTGTGTGCGAAGACTTGTCAAGCACCGCTTCGCTTTTATCTCTGGCGTGCACCCATTTGTAGTACTTATTAGTAGAAGGATTTTGGTGAGTATTTTGTTCGTCGCAATCAGCCGACAATTCAGCTAAGTCAACTACCTATCCGGAAAAGCACCATAAGGCCGTTTTGCCCTATTGGGGCTCGTCAGTGGTGCGCATCCTTCGGTGCGACGAACAAAAATACTCACCAAAATCCTACTACTCATAAGTAATACAAATTCACCCCTACGGATTCCATAAATGCTATGTCGATTCATAGCTGCCGTAACCGGGAAGTTCTGACGCCGGAAGGCCAACTGCTGTCATCTGCATGGCAGATGCCTGCATGACAGTGGAGGATGGGTCGGGCTATATCGCATTTAGCTAACAATTCGTGATGGTCGGCTACCGTCCTCCATGGCGCAGTTGCATTAGCTGCGGGCTAATTGGCACAAGCTACTAGCAGTCATGGGTACGATCCTCCGTAGAGGACCGAAGAATGCGCACCACTGATGAGCCCCAATAGGGCGAAACGGCCTTATGGTGCTTTTCCGGATAGGTAGTCGACTTAGCTGAATTGTCGGCTGATTGCGACGAACAAAAATACCCATTTGTAGTCTCCAAATGTTCTCCTTGTGTTTTAACATTGGTTTGGTCTGCTTTTGACTCGTTACCGTCTGGTTCTCGCAGTACTTTTACACTCCTGACACCTGCCGCAACAGTATCTACTCTTTTCTCACCACGGTACTCATTCGCGCGAGCGCCTGAATGTACACACATAAGCGAAAAAGAAAAAGTACGAATTTCTAAAATGGTGAAAGATGCACCGAACAAAGTGCGTAGCGAAAATTTCCAGCATTTCTGCAACGTTTAACCTCTGTTCTCGAGTAGGTCGCTGACATCGTTGATAGTAAGCACATTTAGTGGTCATATCACAGGTAAGAGTGTGGTTCACCGCTCGAAAATGAAACACTTCGTTGACAACAGCTTCGCATCGCAACATGAATGCACGCGGGTATAGAAAATGCATGCAATCTTAAACGATTGTATGCGTAGGGGACAGCGCGACCCACAGTATCATTAGCCTAGGCACGACTGGTGGTGGTTGCATGGCAGCGTAGCGCCGGTGCTGCGTACCGGTGTGTATTGCTGATAACTGCTCAGTGATCGGCTACTTATCGCACTTTTCAAGTTTCTAAAGGGAAACGGCTGCTTTGAATAATATAAAAATATGAGAGGGAAAAGAAAGGCAAGAGGGTAAAAGCGTGCATGCGGGTACTCACTTCACCTCACCTAGTCCCCCACGCCCGTACGGGGATGCCGGTGGTAACCGAATGTGTAGAAGACGTAGATGTTCGCCAAAGTACAACCGGATGCCTGTTTTGGTTACAGCCATCAGGTGACAGAAGCCACTGGACAGTGGAATGATTGACACAATGCTGAAAACAAGCGTATGAGTGTAATAACAAGGATTCGTAAGCAAGAGGATAGGATTAATGAGAAAAGGCGGAACATACGGAGGTCAAAGGGTGGTGCGTAAGTCTTAATGAATAGAGCGATGAGACAGATATCTGAGACACGAAAGCAGCCTGACGTGAGTGAAGTCAACAGAGCGGAGCAGAAATAGTTAGACGCCAACTGATCACATGACCGTTGCGTGGAATCAAGCGTACCTGCGGAATTGGCTCTTGTCAACCGATCGGACCACGGAGGAGGCGCTGTATGCCAGATCGGCACCGGAGAGGTGAGCCAGCCGGGAAAACGGACTGCGCATTGAAACCGCACCTGTCTTTCCGGCATAATCGTACACAGTCAGATTTGAATCCTCCGTGCGTGAGTACATCAGATGCCGAACGGGATCACAGGCCAGCTGGTGGATAGGATCTGAGAATGAAAGGAAAGGTATGTAGAAGGTAAGTGCAGATATCACAAGTGTGGTATCTAGACTCTGGAAATCTGTGCGTATTGCGAACTACGAGGGCTGTTTAGAAAGTATGGAACTTTTATTTGTCCCGCGATAAATAATGAAGATCGAGAAACACGCTTTGATGCAAGTGAGCATGTGACCTCTATGCGCATGTAGTTATCTTTTTCCGCCGCCTATGAGCTATGAAGATCGAACTGCCGCTTTCAATTAGACGCTCTGTGGCTACGCCGACTGAGAAACAATCTCTTGTTATTTTTTTTACAATATTGTGCACTGTCAGGTGTACATTAGCGGAATAGCTCATAGCTTCAAAAATTTCTCTGATTATCCCACAAGAAATAGGAATTACACATAGTCTGTACAAAAGAGGAAACTAAAAATCCATTGCAACTATTTCCTGTAAGGTGTTGTGCTCAGTTATGGAAAAAGCTATCATTAAAATAGGGGCAAGTGAAAATCAAGCCATATTTAAAGTGAATTTGGAGGCTTTTATCACTATGCCGAATATGATGAGAACATTCGGATCTCAAATGCTTGTAGATGCGCTGATTGCATCTAACCCAAACAATACACGAGAGATGTTGCAATACATCGGTTATATTCGAAAATACCAACCTTGAAGTCTCAGTTGCATGTTAATAAGAAATACCCGTGTATCGCTTCCCTCTAACCTACTTCGTGTGCTTTCACTATTATGTCGGTTATGCATACATGAAAATGCGCAACTTCAAGTCGGTTTGAAAGGCAAAAATAATCCATGAATAAGCTGAAACCGGTTTTTGCTAACTTCTGTTAAAGCCTGTCACACAAACCAATACGAAGAGACGGGCCATCCGTACAATTAGCTCCTTGCTATATCTATCGTTTTACTTTTAGCGTCACTGTATTTTTCAGTTCGTTTCTTTTTTCTTCATTCTCGGTCACGACAGCGCTGGTCCGCTGAGGTGATGGAACGAAACTTCCAAGCAAGATATTTACCCACAAAAGGCGAACAGTCAAAATACCTCCGGTGAGTATAAAAAGGGTGCTTAACTAAACAGTACACTCTGCACTATTGAATGCACACCCAGTGGCATTTGCCGCCAAATCTCGGCGAATTCGGTCAACATGTGCACAAAATGAATGACGAACGGGCTGACTGGCTAAGTGATCAGTTTACGAAGAAAAATAATTCAAGTGATGATAAAATCGGTGGTGATTAGTCCGCTTCTTAGCCACACCGACTCACGACCAGATAGGGTGTGGATGTGTCGATGAAATCTCTCGAGGTACTACCTCGAATGGAAGTAGGTACTCATGAGACAATCAGACGGATGATCGTATTACTTCTTTTCATACTTCTCTCTCTGCCTTGAATCTCTTTGCCTCTTGTTCCTGGTCACTTCAAGTATACACTTTGTTGTCTCATCTACATCAGCCATTAATTTATTCCTGAGGCCACGTTGTTGATTTTAATGCAGCACATCTTTCCATATTATATTTATGCCCAAAACACGGTTAACCATCTGTGTTTTCCTAGGCACCCTGTTTTCGATCATTTGTACATGACTGTAATTTGTTGACCACGCTTTGATGAGCGTACCTAACATTGCAAAGAACAGATTTATTCATTGATATATATATATATGTAGGAATAATAAGTAATAATAATAATATAACGTAGCAACTTCCCCATCAGAATATTAACTCTGCGGATGCACGGCTGATTGCACGGTTTGTAAAATTTTTGCCCGGTTCATCAGGTCACTTGGATTCCATCAGAATGCAACATAAACTCATTGCTAAACCATTTGTGTTACTAAAAAGTAACATTTTTCTCACCATCACATCGTGTTTCCATGTTTGGACTCCTATGTCCATCTATCTTGTTCCCTCCACACAAAAACTGGTCAATCTCGCTTATTTTCACCCCATCATTGTTTCTGTGGTACTGTAACTCCAGTTTGCCTAGCATGCGAGCTAAACGGAACAATCATAGTTTTAAGTCTGTGAAAACAACTACGACTACCAGTGTCAGAACCATAGGTGCATTCAACATTGATGAACGGGTGAAAAACTATTCTTTCCGATCTATCTGTAGTTCGATGCGCTTGTTAAAATTAACTTGCTTGAAAACGAAGTAAATACCCTAAGTAAAGAACTGTTCCCCATCGCTGGAAGTTTAGCAAAGATGATGCCACTAACCCCGCTGTAGGATATCTGGAAATCCGATAGTCCTAATGAGTTGAAAGCCGTCGGCGAACTCGTGACTCTTGCCAACGAAGTAAGTGAGCGTGCTCACCGTGCCTCCAACGTGGACCTTTTCAACGTTCTTGACCACGTGGCTCTTGACAGAGTAAAGAGCATACTGCTAGGCTTGTGTAACATATCAATGGACAGTTGCACCTGTAATAGACTGAGGAAGAAGACGTCGAGGCGAACCTGCCCAATCGTTTTTACCTTTAAAAGCCGAAAATTAGCCAAGACGTTTTTGGAAAGTATGTTTAAATTGAGAGCCCGAGTGAAGCTTGTCCAGATCATAGTAAAATACGATAAGACGCCTCTATAGAGAGCTATTCTATCTTCAAGTGCAGCGCCTGCTATGCAACATAGACGCTCTGTGCCACAGAGCGCAAGTTCTACTAGCTTGGCTATAACGCCAAGCGTAGACCTAGACCCATCTCTCACGGAGGTAATTTCGACCACAAGAAAACATAAAGCTGCGTCGTGAGCGACCATGGAGGCCGTTGACGGCCGCGCAAAGTTCATTGCAATTCGTGATAATGTTGTCATTAATGCGACCACGATAGTTGCTCAAAACAGGAATCCCGACATGCAGACAGTGAGCATGAGAGCTAGATAACGCCTCGCTTCATGCTGCTACAGGCTCTCATGATGTTCAGTTACAAAATGCTCCATCCACCTGTTCCCCACCGGTAAAAATTACCTAAAAAACGCAAGACATCCCTGACCCCACGTCATCAAAAAAACCCTCGTCACCTGTACATTGAAAATCGCCTGTGCATCCTGTGCGTCTGCGAAGACACAAATCAAACCTCGATACCAGCAGGCTACGCAGTCACTTCGACGCTCGTTCCTGCTGGAGACATAAACACGCCAAACTGCAACTGATACCTTCCTGCTCACCGATATCGATCGCTTCTCCCATAGCAATCGCGTGATAAGTTGACTAGCGGATGGAACTACACTGATACCATTATCTATTGGTTTCTGGTCTTGTACAACAATTTGGGGCAGCTACCTCACTCTTACCAACACCCGGACCTTTTTATGGAATATGGCTGGTTGTGACTCGCCACACCAAATCCAAATGGAGAATGCGGTTGCCTTATATCATTTATCCAGAATTCTACCTGTCTCAAGTCCCCATAAATTACTGGCATCCAATGTCCATCTGCCTCCTGCCAACTCCGCTAGGGTAGATGACAAGCTCTACATTGACAACGATCACATTTGTGGCACTAATCCAACGTCCACTCATCATGCAGCTGCCTACAATCCCCTTAGTACTACGCGTCACATCTACTCCCCCAATGCAATGGGCATGTCTTCATCACCTGGAGCATCTACGGATGTATACAACACTCTTACAATGAAAGCGGCATGAACATTTAGAAATCTTGGAAAAGGCAAAGAGCCAGAGCGAGTACGGCTAAACGTGACGACATTGAACTTGGTACACCTATTGCAGGTACATCTACCAATGAGCCGGTTGAAGCGTTTCTCATTAACGCTCGATCAATCAAACATAAGATACACCTACTAGACCCTTTTATCTGGCCCAAAGATGGTCCTCGTTACGGAAACACGGCACCACTCCAGAGCAACTGCCACTCCTCGTCACATCCCGCGTTACAGAACTTTCTGGAATGGAGGCGTCACTAGCCGGGGTGGCTGGTCCCTTATCCATATGCATGGGGATTTTCAGGCCTCTACATTTGAAGTATTGTCTATTGGTAACCCCGAAGACTCAATCTGATTACAGAGTAGTGGGGAACACTTGGACCTCTTAATTGGCTGCATGTATAACCCACCACACACTACCAAGAAACGTGCTACGGAACCTGCTAAACTCTTCTACCAAGTTTCCGTCTACACAAAAATAGGTGACGTTAATTTGCCGACCATTAATTGGGACTCTCTGACAGCACCTCCAAAATCTATGGCTCTATTGGACTCCATTACGGCATGCGATTGGACTCAGCATGTGCGTGCACCCACTAGGCAAGATAATGCTTTTTGACTTAGTTCTGACAACAGAAATCTCCCGTGCATTTGCGAGTATTCTAGAGAATATCCAAGGTAGCCAGTATAAGGTAGTGTAGCTATCGTTTGAGATAACCAGGGGGAACGGTTGCCCTGCAAGATCAGTGTCCACCTATCGACCATTCCAGCGTATTAACTGGGAATGCTTCTCCAATCTGGACTGAGATAGGTTCTTTGTGACAACTGATATCGATGTAGCCACCAAGGATCCGTACAACAATGTTGTATTATGCCTGGATATATTCGCACCACAGCAACGCGGACGTAGACCACGCTGTCGACCAACCGCTGCGATTTTAAAGACAATGTCCGTCAAACACAAAAAGGTGATCCAACTACAAGAAGACAAAGCAGTTCCATATTCTTATGCGCATCAATGAAACCATGCTGCAACGGAGAAATAAACAGCATTCGGTGAAGTCAGCACAGGAGAGAACTGCGATCTTGAGCACAAATCTAACAAAATCGCTTACTAATTTACTAAAACACAGGGGCTCTCGTAATGTGACACCCATCAGGTCACTTGTGCTACCGGATAAAACCGTGGTTACTGACCAAAAAGAGATAAGCGACATTCTGAACATACATTTTTGTAACTCCTTTACAGGTGCTAGTATGATACTCACAGCTCACGTATAGATGAAGTATCCAGCATTACCTATGATCTGCGCACCATCGCTAGGGAGATAAA